GGCAGCGGCGGAGGGACACGGTGCCCGCCCAGATCTTTTAAAGCACGATGGAATTCCTGTAGGCCTAGGAACACCTGACGTGCACGTCAAGGCGACGGAGACGCACGAGGAATCAATGGGAAGGGACCGAAAGGAGGCAAGCATGACAAAACCAAGACAAGCGCTTTCTTTATACTAGAGAACAAGTGTCCCGAAAGCCTTTGCAGCAGCTAGGTAGGCAGCACCGCGAAACCCAACATGATCCCGTCCATCCATCCATCCATCCGTCCATCCCTATCGATGCCTGCATCCATCCTGCATCTATCCATCATCCGTTCATCCATCCACCCGTCCACTCATGCAACCCTTCATGTACACCGGATGTACGCCCCTCCATGAACCTGTCTATAAGCCCTTCCAAGAACAAGCCTATAAACCTTCTATAGACGAGTAAACCTTGGAGAAATGCTTCTACAAATGCTCCTCTAAACTTTCTTTGAAGCCCTTCTGCCAGGTTACAGGCGCATAGAGCGCCGCTTTGCTTTGCGTTCTTAACCGCATGGGAAACCGAGATTTAGCACGTTTCTCAGAAAAACATGACTGTAGCGCCGGACAAGCTTTCACACTCTAGTGATCACCATCGTCATCGTCATCACCGCAATCACCATATCTTTGTGCCCTATATTGTGCAAAGAAGGCAAACGCAGTAAATACCAATCAATGTTCGGGGCATGCTCGCACAAGGCATCAGCAGTGCGTCTTGTGCCAGAAACATCAAACATCCTTCTGCAGTATGTCGTATAAAGTGGCGAAACGCTGCAAATACCGGTGGTTTGGGCATGCTCGCACAAGGCATGAAAGCTTGTGACAGCGTGTCGAGGCCAAATATCCTTCTGCATTATGTTGCGTAAAGTGATAGCATCGCTGCAAATACCAGTTGTTGTTGGCATGGTCGCCGTTAGAAACGACTTCACTGTCCCGACCCCCCCACCCCACCAACATCCCCCAACACGCCTCAACCCCCCCTTCCCACACCCGACCCCAACCCCATAGAAGAAGAGAACGTAGGAAAGTAACGCGCTGCCATATGCGCCTGCTACCTTCTATTAACCCCCCTTCTATCAACCCTTCCATTAACACCTCTTTCGATAGTATCCTTTAAACCCTCCTTTAAACTTCGCTATAGGCCCTTCTTTAACGCCTTCCGCCCCTTCCATAAACCCTTCTGCAAACCGCAAGTCGTCACGGCGCCAGACGCGAAATGCCATTTCGTGTGCCCGAACACGCCGGTGACTAGGCTGTCAAATCCGAGCACGAAACGTCACGGCACCACACGCTCAACGTCATTTCATCTCCCGCTCCGCTGTCCACTCCCCTATGGGTAGAAGTTCAAAAAACATGGAATATGATTCACGGAGAACCTCTCGAATGGCTTGAAGTTGGGATTCTGAGTTCAGGGAGGCTGCAGGTGTCAGGTGGGAGCATCACTCGGTAACCCACCCAAGAAGGAAGCGAATTGCCACCTTTTGGAGGCAAGAGGAGGCAAGCCGTGACTTTTGCCAGGAGATATAGGCAGTTTAGTTTAGCGTTGAAGATTGGAGTTCCTGTAAGTTGTTGAAGGAAGTCTCCGGTCGGTGTCGCCTCTGGCTGTTCTCAACTCGCCTCTGTAGCATTCCCTGCACGGCTACGCCTAAGTCGAACCGCTTGAGACCCACTCGACCGACGTTCGTGAACACCATCTCTTTTGTTGGATCATAGCATCTGCCCGTATCTGCCCATTTCCCAGATGCAGCGCCTTTCCAAAGCGTTGTCCGGCGCGATGTTGTTGGTGGCTGGCGTGAATTGCGTCAGTGCCTGCAGAGAAGCAGAAGTCAACGCTAAAGCAGATCATTCTGAGCAGCTTCTCTGTCGATTTGGGAGCATATCCAATAAAAGTCTGAGGCAGGTGCCCAGTGGATGGAAGCAGCATAAGCTTCGGTGAACTCCGATCCGATCTCCGCCTGCAGGATCCAGCTCTTGCCGTCCAGCTGCACCGTGCCGATACCATACCAGCAGCAAGCCTTGACCAAGGCGATCAAATCCAGAGAAGGCGAGGCCCTAAACATCGCTAAACCCAAGAAACGTAAGTGCCAAGAAACGCTAACTCAGATACTGTAACCCTGGATCAAGGCTGCCGAGAAGCAATCAGATGGTTGATTGCCAGGATCATGACAAGACCAGCCACAACCTTCATGACCATAAATGCATGGGCAGACAAGAAGCGGTTGGCCACCAAGGACAGTGCCTGCTGCAACTTTGCAACTCGCACGAGCCGTAGCAGCCGCAACAATCGCAAGGTTCGCAAGAACCGAGCTGATCGAAACCCTGCACTCAGGATTCCTTCGAGCACAAGTAGCATAACATCGATGAAGATCACAACTACATCCAGGGCAAACCACGAACGCAAATAAAGCTTCAGCAGAATAGACGGCCGCATCTCCAGTTTGCCTCTGATCTCTCTTCCGAAGATGAGGTTCGTGGGTATGTCGAGAAGCCAATAGCTCAGCGAGACTTTGCCCACGTCGGACAGAAACTGGATGAATTGAGGAACATCGAACATCTCAAGAGGGATAGTGACGAGATCCCAGATAATGAAAATGCTTCCCACAATGGACCACAGCAATTGCATGACGCTTCTGGGGCCGACCACAAGTCGCTGGAGGCACGAGTTTTCATCCCGCAGCGCATCGTTCATGCGCAGAGTGGAAGCTGCAGTCATGATGGTCGTACGGTAGTTTTGACTACGGCTGGCAATCCTGGAAGCTTCTTGAAAGGCGATATTCCAAGCTGGATGCATCTTCAGCAGATCCTGTCCCAGAAGCATCGGTCGGCAAAGCTCGTCGTCTGGATCAAAGAGTGCATCCCTCATGAGTAGCTTGGATGCAAAATCCGCCCACTTCTCGAGGGGCGTGCTGTCATCTGGCAATGCCGAAGTTTCCGAGGCAAACGCATAAGATAGCTCTGTTGGCTTCGTTTCTGCCTCGCTTTCACTACCTCCGTTGAGAAGCTGGATCTGGCGCTGCAGCAACACCACGGTGTTCCTGAGCTGCTCAGTCTCGTTGACATGCTGCTCTCTGATTGTCTGCTGGAGTGTTTCCAGCTGCGTCTTCAAGACGTCATCGAATGGAGTCGCAGGCTTGGATCCCTTCGGCGAAGAACTTGGCCAGGAGGGTGGTTGGAAAGCAGTACTCACGAGCGCCGCCATTGCCAAAAAAGCTCCGCAGGTCTCCACGGGCTGTTAAAACAAGCGGCTTCACAGATTCAACTTGCAGTGAATCACGGCACTGAGCTCTACTAGAGTCAGCTGTATTGAAACGCGCTGATCCTGCAGCATGCTCAGATGGGTGTTCTGTGCAGTTTCGGGCCACCGGCTAATGCTGAACGGGCAAAGGCTATCTGCCTGTGGCAATGTTAGCTTGACTCACCGATTGCCACATTTACCTCCAATAACTAGCCGGCCCAAGCAACAGGACACAGCATGAGACAGCGAGGCAAGCATATCTGACAATCGGGAATCAGGAGCCCTGCAACCCGCACAGTAGTTTAGGGTCCCATCCAGCCAAGACGCATGTCCTCTTCCAACAAAGTGAAGTCGAAGACCTGACTGTCCTGTTCAATGAGAGTCTCCGGCGATGTATTCCCAGCATTCCCGGGCTTTGCAGCGGTGGCCCGGCCCGTCCCCGTCCTCTGTCTCAGCGTGTTTCGAGGCCACAGCCAGGCCCAGCTGCAAGGCCCAGCGTGCGAGCACTACCGCGGCTGAGCGGCCTGTCGGCTTGCACGAGTCGCTGGTGAACTCAACTACCAGTCTGCTTGCAAGACCTGCTCGCTTTGCGATCGCAACGACATGAGGATCTTCTAGAGGCCCCAGGAAGTTCATACCTTGCCAAGGAGCAGAGCACGGCACCCTCACTGAAGCTTTTCACCTGTCTGAGGCCAGAGCGGTCTTCCGCATGGTATGCCGCCATGACAATGCCATGTGCCCGAGTCCAGCCCAGCACATCGCCGTCCTCAGGCTCTTCTTTCAGCATTAAAACAATAAGCAAAGCTGCACTTGCTCTGCCTGTGCAAGCCGTGAGACGGAGTTCAGATCTTCCCTGAGCATCTGGTAAATCGACATCCGGCGCTGCAGATAGACTGGCTTTACGTGCGCCGCGCGGTAAAGAGTCTGCAGGGAAGGCAGGTCGAAGTTGCTGACCTTGATTAAGCAGCAGACCTGCTGCCCGGCTCTGGTACACAAGACACGTGCTGCTACCTCTGCCACAGAGGCACACCCAGCGAGCGGAAAATGCCTTTGTCGTAGAATGCTTCCAGTACTTCCCACACTTGGTGCTGCCTTAGATCAATGCAATCGCAGCACCTTCCCGGACCCGTTCAACAGCCTGCTGCATGTCAGTGCAAGCACTGCCAGCACATGTGGGAGACTCGTCATGCAAAGTCTCCTACTTTCTTCCGGCAACCTTGCAGGCACTGCACGCCGGTGGCCTTTTTTGCACCATCCCTTGCGAGGAAGACGTTGCGCAGTCAGTTTTGCCAGCGTCTGCAGCGCAGCTCAACTTTCTTCCAGCTTCTGGCGCCAGCTCCGCAGATTCCGCAATGGAAGCACAAGCAGTGCACCGCAGCCGGCCGCTGCGGTAAGGACCGTAAAATAGCAAGGCCATCCCAGTGCCGTCACGACCTTCGACAAAGGGAAGCCCGACAGCGCGGCCCCGAAGTATCCGATCCAACCGATGAAGCCGGTGGCTGTGGTGCTCCAAGCCTTGGGTGCCGACTCGTTGGCCACGAGCGGCAGCAGCAACTGTGCGCCACAGAGAAAGTGGCCTAATGCCAGGAGGAGAACGTACTGCAGCCAAGGATGGCTCGATGGAACTCGACTCAGGGCTGGAAGCAAGAAGAGTGTCGCCAGGAAGTACACGCAAACAACCTTTGCACGTTGCCCGACCTCTCCATCCCCGGGGCGAGCTCGGCGCAAAAGGAAGTCTGAGAAGCTGCCGGCAGTAAGGTTTCCCAAGAAGCCGCCAAGCTCGAAGCCCGAAAACAAAGCTGCAGCGGCTGCTGGACTGATTTTGCCTGTCTGCATGAGGTAGAAAATGCCCCAGACGCTCAGCCCCTGCCTGCACCTCAGCTCGAAGCGTAGGCGAAGGCAAGTAACAAAGGACTTGTGCATTAGGACTCGTTAGCAGGTCAAGAACGCGCAATCACGATGCTGCACTGAGCTTCCTACACGTAGACCAGCATGTAGGCGATTCCGAGTGCCCACTGCACCGGGTTTAAGACAATGCCTTCCATGAGGCTCACCTCTGGTTCTGGCTTGATCTTTGCCTTCACCGCCTTTGCGTCTGGTCCCCCCTTGGAGTCGATCGGGCCATCGCGCATGGCCAGGAGGCAGAGGAAGACGGTGAGAAGCCCCAGAAAACCGGGCCCCAGCATGCCATAGCGCCAGCCGAAGGTGCCTGCCAACGTGCCCGCAAAAAAGGGACACAGAAAGCCGCCCAAATTGATGGAGGCATGCCAGACTGACCACCAAAATCCGCGTTCTTTCGGGTCAAACCAGTTTGTTATCATCTTCACACATGGTGGGGCAGCGAGTCCCTGGAAGCAACCGTTCAATAACCAGAAAAAAGCAAACTGCGGCAACGTGGAGCTCAAGCCGAAGGCGATGTTCAGCAAACTACATATGAAGAGTCCCAGGGCGAAGACGCGCTTGGGGCTCATTAAGTCACCAAGCAGGCCACCCAGGAATCGGGAGGAACCGTATGCCAAGGGAAAGAGTGATTGGAGCTTTCCGATTTCTGCCAAGCCCTTCCAACCCATGGCCTGTCGCAAGACAGGGGCTGTGTAGCTCAAGCTTTGCCTCGTGAAGTAGCAGACTGAGTAGCCGAAGAAGCAAGCCCAGAAAGTGGACCACTTGGCCCAAACAAGCTTTGTGTTTGTGGCAGTTGGCTCTTTGGCCGCCCGACGCCGCAGGTGCAAGCCGCTCGGCCCCAAGAACCATTTAGGCTTGCCGGGAACATGACTTGCTTGCCCCTGACCGGTCACAGAGAACGCAGGGAACGAAAGGCGCGGGCTTGGACGGGGCCGCGCAAGTGGCTGGCCCAGCCCAGACTGACTCCAGATGCGCGGCGGTGATTGCACCAGCGCCATCTTTATCCAAGAAAACTAATTGGTAAGATGTGCTACTTACTACTGGTTGCCGGTGTCACCTTTGGGAGATGTTGCGATGTTGAGTTCAAATTGCTGCACTGGGACTTGTGAAAGTTGTTCGAGGAGATCAGCCGCAGCAGCTTGTGCAGCCAACCCAGGGACAAAGAACGATGCAGAAAGACAAGCAAAGGAGCAGGCAGAAGCCTCTTTCAACCATATCCGCGTGCAGCTGGGGCACAGCATGGAGTACCGGGTGGAATGGCTCATCATGAACAGGTCAATGTAGTCCAACCCAAAATGTCTCAGCAGCCTTCGACATGCTTACCAGACTCGAAAATGAGACACAGAGGTGCCTCCACTGTACGGCTACATGCCGTGCAGCGACTGTTGGATTGCACGTTTGGCACCCAAGGGGTAGCTGTCCGCCGGACCTTCTCAGAACGGCTTGAAGTCGCGGACACAATGACCCATGCTTGGCTCTTCGCCTGGGACCGGGCCGCCAGGGGACCCGGTCGACCGGACTGGGCTTCAGGCTGAGCCGACAGGCAAGGAAGATCTGCTCTCGCGGGACACCTCCGTCCGGCCAAGGCTGAAATTCGAATCGGGCGAGACCAGCCGTGCGCCTGAATCCCGAATTGCCATGCTGACTTCCTTTTCGCTGCCATGGTACGGTACAATGTCGATGTGTCCTGACTGGGCTGTGCTGCACTTTTCCGAGCCTTTCTGAACAAAAGCCAATGCTCAGGTTCAGACTGTACCCGGTGTTGATCGCTTTGAGCACCTGCTTGTAGACATCGTTCGTCGGTTTAAGAGGGAGCCGCCACACCTGCCAGACCTTGCAGTCACGAAGTGTCGAACCTGCACCGTTCTCGTGGAGTGGCACAAAAATGCAGTCGTGGCACACTGAAGATCAGAAGCGGCCTTGCGTGCTCTGAGAACAAGCCATCTAATGGTCATCCACACTCCACGAAAGACTTCTGAAATTAGGATGTTCTGAAAGATCACCAGTTCCGACCTATCACCAATACCAGCGCTTCACCCAACACATCTTGGCAGGGACACAGGGCATGTTTTTTTCTCAGAGCTGCCGACCGCTGAGCTAAGCAAGAAAATCCACCTGTTTCTGTTTCTTCTGACCACACAGCAGCATCATGCTCACATGCTCAGCACATGCTGATGCGGCACGCACATGCACATGTAGCGCCGAAGCGACACAGACAGCAAAATGCAACGCAAGTGCTAGTGTTTTCCCCATCCTGACTGCTCATCGAGCCGCATCGGCAAACCGTTGGCAAGGGAGACACGGGCGCCGACGTCACCAGCAGGAAGCTGGAAGGATCTCCCTGCAGACATTGGACTTGCTTCGAGGGTGCACGCTAGATTGTGCTGCGATTTCTCCTGAGGTTAGCTTCGAAGCTCTGCTGACCTACAGCCCACTTGCCGTCATCACAATTTGCCAAGTTTCACGCGCCTGCGAAAGGAACATGAAGCCCGTGGTTTGTCAAAGCAAGCTGTAGTTGGCTGCCCAGCCTTTGCAGGAAAAGCGACAAACGGCCTCAACCTAAGACTATTTCCAAACTACTAGTTACTAATTTTCGCGAGGCACGGTGGGCGCGGACCACTATCTCACAAAATTTCATTTTGGAGGTGATAAGACCGAACAGTGCAGGTGCAAAACCACCAAGTGGAAATTCAGAAGAAAATAAGCGGATAACAAGAACAAGACTAGGCATGTCGTGCGTAATGGTTTGGATTTGTCCCACCCCGCCACGGCCCGTGCAACCTCAACACACCCGCTGTTTCTTCACCAACTCAAACCAGAGGAACACCGGGAGACCCCAAACCCTAAATCCCAAACCCTGAACCCCAAGGCATCAATACATTAACCCACCCTCGCCGCGCATCCCGCAGGGCGGCCCGCCCGAGCTGGCAGAGAAGTTGTTTATGTGTTTGCTCAAGCACAGCATGCTATAAGCAAGAAAAAAACTCACAATGTTGGAGGTGTTTTCTTCAAAGTACAGTGGCCTAGTTTGACACACCATGCCGAAACGGGGTTCGCGAAGAATGGCCTTACAAACTGCTTCAGTCGGTAAATGTATTAACTTCCCCACATGTTTTCATCAAGAGTCTGGTACTCGCCAGCAACGAGCCAAAGCTGTAGCGACCGCAAGAGGGCACGCGCAGTTCCGCTCATCTCCTGCCAACCTACATGCCACTTCTTGGCATCATTTCCTGAGGTTGCAAAGGAGTTTAGGGCAGTTGTGCATAGTCCGACAGGCTGACTCCCATCTGCCGCCGAGGAACCAAGCCAATACATGAACTCATGCACGGCCACAACCTGTTGTACCTCTAGATGAGCATCGACTTCGCAGACCTGTTCCTGCTCACCGCAATCTCTACTCTATACTTTGAGCGAACCTCGCGGGGCGTGAGCCGCAGCCGGTGAGCCGGACTTGCATGCTGAATAGCTAAACCTGAGAGTGAAGACAAGACCTGCACACAGGCATCAAGTTTCCTGAGCAACCGAGAAGCGAAGGTTGTTCCATGCGTATCGCCACGCCGAGGCCACACCATGCCACGCGTCAATGGAAAAGGGACACTCCGAGTCGTCGGATTTGTCCTCAGGCATCTGACTGCTGTTGTGCAAGAGGGTCTTTGCTTTGCTATTGAGGTAGGCTTTTTTCTATTGGGGCCGGAAACGGCCATTGAGTCATTCGCAAGCTTGCCGGGACTTCTGCTGCAGAGCACAACGGCAATACAAACACAGACACTGTTCCAGCAAATCAGCATCACGACACAACAACTCAGGACTGGGCACAAGCTTCAGGCACCTGGCCAGCTGCCCACAACGCAGCCTCTGCAAACGGTGGCGAGCGATTGGCGCAGCGACCGGCTGTGCCGGAGGCACAGCGTGCACTCTGTTCTGCCCATGAGCTGCCTCCACTCAAGTCGGCAAACCGCCAGGAAAGTCCACAAGATTGAGCGAGCACATACGATTACAAAGCTTGGACGGGAACCTGCAAACGATGCTGTCGCCGTTGCAAGCGAGGAAAGAAGCACCGGGTGTAGATGGCTGTATGTCTCCGCCCTCATTCGCGTCCAACTGAGAAGCAGAGTCAATCATGGCACTGGGAAGGCTTGTCATGAAGTGCTCTCGCTTTAGGAGTCTTTGTCTTTCACGTTGTGAGGCACTACCAGACTAGCAGTGACTCGCAGTGGTGAGATATGACAAGTTGCGTAAACAATGGCTCTGCTTAAACGAATGTTCCCGAATCGCGAACAGCTCCTGATTGGCTCAAGGCAGAAAGCAGCCTTCGAGCCGATGGCCACCAGCAGCCAAGCGCAGGTGAGGGATGCCGAGTCTCTCGGCAGGGCAGTGACTTGCTCATGGTCCGTAGTAGAAGGATCTGGCTCGTCTTTATTGCCCTGTAACCTCATGAAGATATGCTCAAAGTGTATGGTCTGCACCTTCCATCTCCAGACAAACCGCCGCTCCATTGTCGGTCAAGGCCAGTGCCTGGTCAGGGAATGCAAGTCCTCTCGCGCTGCCTGAAAGCCGCCCTCTCTGCACACGGGTCGTCATGGCCTCTACAGCGAAGCCCGCTCTGAGAATTGGAGCAGCATCCGAAACGCGAGCATGGCACTTGGAAGCATGGATCTGCAACACCTCATGTGTTTAGGATAAAAGCTGAGAGTTCTACGGCATTCTGAGCCATTGAGTTCATGGAAAAACTACGTTCTGTCCGCTGCGCGAGGCTGCCGGTGGAATAAGGCCATGAAGATGCCTTGGGTTTCTTTGCTTTAGTTGAAGCCACAGAAAAGCAGAACAGGAACCAATAGGGATACCGTAGGCAACGCCACTGACAAAGCTCCGGCATTGGGTGCATCGACGCAGACGATGTCCTGCCGGGAGGACGAATTTGTCGAAAGGTTCAAGGATTGGTGTGACCTCACGCATGGCGGATGCGGCACACACACCCTCGGTTTTCACAGATCTGAACGTGTACAGTGATTTGAGGCAGTCACGAATCAGAAAGCTCCCATGCCGCACCACCTCTAGCATGGTGAGCGCGCCAGCGATGACTAATATAACAGTGTATACACATCTACCAAGACCAAGGGATTCACCGCTCAGAGGTGATGGTGCAGACGAAGGGTTCCTGCACTGGGCATATTGCGCTAATGCCACGTCTTTGTCGCTTTGCCCTCATCGCCTAAGCCTCCGACTCCAGAGAGCCCCGCATATCGACCGTAGAGGGAGCCGGGGACCTGAAGTGTCTGCAGCAGGCGTCACATACAGGGCAAACCCGCCCACTGCATAGCTGTACTGTTCCCTCCCATGCCGTCCTCTGCGCCCAAGCGCAGCCGCGCACATGCAGACTGTCTCAGACTGAAACTCCCCATCACACACAGGCACGCAGATAAACTCTGACTCTAACTCTACAAGAACAAACGGACTCATCCGACTGCGGCAAAATGTTGCAGTTTCCTTGTCAGATGACTCCACATTTTGCGAATGTGCCTGCATTTCTGAAGATGCGCAGACCATCAAGGTTTGTCATGAATTTTCGATGTAAATGGTGTCTTTGGGACGGGACTCAAGCGAAGTGAATGCATTGTGCGAGCGCCGCAATGCATTGCCCAACTCTTACCGAGCACACGAATTGGATGCCAAATCTTCTCTGGAACTGGTCTGCCAAATTCTGCAGATCTCGATATCGTCTGCGGTGTTCAACAGACCCTTGCGTGGACTTCAGTGCGGCGACGCTGTCACGAAAACAGCAGAGCTTGCGCACTGAGGGGCTGTATTCGAGTCAAGCGAAGCCTTCGAGGCCTCGAGTAGGACGGATAAGGCGCATGCTGTACGGGCATCGTTGCTTCCAGTTCCGTCTGTACTGCTAGATTGCCCGACCAGGGGACAGCTTACAGTCTGACTCCAAACGAATCGCGCTGAACCCGAAACAAACAGCAAACATTGTCTTCTGGACTCGACTGAGTATTCACCCCGAACACCGTTACAGCGCCTGCGTTTCTCTCTCATTACCGCCGCGGCTTCAAACACCTGCACCAGCTTTTGAAGTATCGTGTTGAATCTTACTTGAAGGAAAGACACATCCATCCATCCATCCACCCATCCATACCTACGTTACATTACCTTACCTAACATTATATGACATTATAAATCCGCCGAGGTCACAGGCCTCCGGCGTCTTGGGGGTTAACTACCCTGCACCCCCCCTTTCGACCTCCCGCCCCGGCTCCCCCCCCCTCCCACAAGCCGTCACAAGCCTCCCTTGACCGTAGTCCCCACTCCGCACCCCCACCCCCCTCCAGTGAACCCTTCTCTTCAGCACAAATGCTTCAGTCAAACTTCGTCGCTCGGCCCAGCCCGCACCCCCTCCTTCCCCGCCTCCACTCGCCTCTCCCCTCTCTTTCGACAATCAGCGAAACTGAGTGGGTTGTGTCACAGTGCTGCTCCGCATGACTCAGGTACTGGTAATTACTGCTTCTAACCAGTAAAACTTCTTGGCTCGCATTGGGCTATCCCAAACAGTTAAACACACACAAGACTTAGTGCCCACTACCCAATCCATGTCCTTGGTGTTTTCTGGTTCATGCCTCGATCGTGCCCACGAGGAAACACGTGAAACACAGTTTGCTCGCTGGAATATGCCCGGCAGGCACTCGTTCTGGGAGCGTCGCTGTTACCGAGCGAAGGAGCCTGATGATTTGGATTGCCGATTTTGTAAACATGAGTGTGCTCATTTGTCGCAGCTGTTTGCGCACGTTCGGGCGCATTTCTGACCGCTTCACAGACTGTGTTTCCGGATTCAGACGTGCCGGCATGGGCGACATGGACACATGGACGGCGCAACGACATCAGGCCAATGACAACGGAACCAGCCTCCAGCGAAGATGACAGCACTTTGTACTGGAGAAGATGCCGAGACTCTGCGCAATTCATGGTTGCCTGTCTCCGTAGGGACGCTGCGGCAGGAGCGTGAGATGAGAGAGCTTCAAAGTGCTGTTTTCAGAACTTTTGTCGTGCGTGAGCCCAATCGCATTTTCAGCACGGTAAAGGCAGAGTTTGGAAGCTATGGGAGAAGGCCAAAAGGCGCGATCGTCTGGAGGTTCATCGCCAGAAGGGGAGGTTCATGCATACGCATGGGCAGCCCTTACACAGGTTGCTGCTCAGCCAGAGACGTTGGATGGTACATCGATGCGGCATGGTGCGGCCATGACATCGCCAAACATGATTGCGGACGTTGTGTGCATTGCCTAGTTGAAGAAATCAATCAAAGTGAGTTCAAGTTGTCCTTGGCGGTAAGCATCGGTGACCCCTGCTCATCCTAGTCTGCTCGGCTGTGTCTGCAGGAGTTCTTGCGACAGGAGCTGTTGAGAAGAAGGGTCAAGCACCTGCAAGCGGCATGTCTCGTGAGTTGCAGGCGTCGGCAGAGAAACTCACCGACATCTCTAGCGAGCGAGACAGTGCCAGGTGGGTGCCGCTAGTACACTGCATTGCTGGGGGTTTCCGGGATTCGACGAGATGAGCCGGCGGTGGAGCTTGAACGAAGGAGGCACTGGGAGGGCCCCGCTCCTTTGCTCACCGTTGCCACAGACGGTAAAGTGAAATTGAAAAGCAAACATGCATGCATGATCATGAATGCATAATTATGTGCAAAGAGGAATAGCGGGCCGCATACATTGCACGCTTCGCAAGCCACCACACTATGTCCTTGGGCCTATTGGCAGCTGAGCAGGGAACAGAATGCAGTGACCTGCTGTTTGTACAGCTTCCTGCGGTGGCGCAAAGACCCGCGCAGATTCTGCAACTTCTGCAGGTCCTTGACAGATCCAGGCAAGGCATAACTTTGATCGGGCAATATCGGGCACGCGAGACCGCTGCAAACACGCCTGCAGGTTCCTGACTCCATGACGCCGTAACCTGCCGCACGGCGGCCTTCGTGCCACGGTAAGGCCAAGCCGAATCATCATCTTTGCAGGTGTATAGCCAAGCAGGCGGCCCGCCTGGATCTCTTGCCTCCCGACATCATGCAGCAGTGTCCAGCTACAAGCAGCGGAGCGAGTTCGAGCTCGAGACCCCAACCTGCAAAGCTCTTCAGGGCCTTTCATGCTCCGAGGAGTGGCAGCAACTAAGCATCTTGTGGTTGCTCGTGGCACCCCAAGCCTGTCCACCTGTAGATCGGCGCAGCATCTCTCGATGCCTATGACGACGTCTTACAGCGACCCATGATCGGATGGCGACGCAGTCAGCCTCAGCTTGTCGTCCCGCAATGTCACCAGCCCTGACACCGGCAGCGAGGGCTTGAAGAGTGTCATGGGAACAAGCATGCACAGTCGCGAGCCTTCTCTGTGGGGATGTTGCTGGACCTCCCAAGCTTTAAACTGAAGTCTCTTTGTTCTCCGAGGCAAAGCCAACTGCAGAGCAGAGGCAGGGCCTCGTGCAACAAGCTTCCTCGAATCGCAGAGGATGCAAAAACACGCTGATGGCTCTGGTCTGGTGCTCTTGTGGGCCCCGGCAGCGCCGACTCTTCGCAGCCTCGTCTCACCAGTCTCTCTTGATGGCTGAGACTGTCCAGACCCAAGGTCATCTGTCAAAATCCATTTGCAGCTCAGCTGCTGGATGGACAGTCGTTCGTGGCCTCAGACTGCAACCACAAGCCCTCAGCAACAGCCGCCCGAGGCAAAATGGTGTATGGATGTGTATGGTGTGTGGTAACATGCGCAAATCGATTATCCGGGACTGGACCACTGGATCCATCCAAAAATGCTTGTCAGCATGGCTGGCAGCTGGAGCCTCCGTGCAGGAGCCCTCCGGGGGGAGGGGAGTTCCTCTGTGAGAGGAGTCCCCAGTTGTATCAGTCGAGAGACAGTGACAGGTGACTCGCGGAAGTCCGATGGCATCGCGGCCATGGCTAGGCCCTCTCGCACACGGTCGTTTATCAGCAGAGCAATGCACAAACATATGCTCTATGCATGCAAAAGAGTATATATGGTATATTGGTGTAAGTACGTACAAATGCCTGTACCTTGGCACTTTGATATACATATGAAACTTCATGAACATGTAC